AAAACCACAAGAACCCGGTTCGCCTGGGTGTTGCTCAGTGACTGGGGGACAAACACTGCAGTTCCTTTTCCTCTAGGGAGCTTGCACGGGAACATCTCCCGCGCCCGCTTTCGGATTTGGGGGTTTAAACGAAAGTTGCTTGTGACTTTTGGTCTACGAGGCACAGGATTGCGCCCCCCCCCCAATTTTTTTTTTTTCAAGAAACGCTAAGGGTGAGCTCGTGTGCATGCTGGAGCGGCAAGATAAACAGTGTCCAAACAACACTCAGAGCACAACTGCCAGTCATCCGCCCATCCCCTCTGCCAGCCCGCCCCAAAGTGCAAAACTGCTGTCGCTCAGGCCTAGCCGGGGTCGCACAGCCACAAACCTCTTTCCGGCCGGCCCAGCGTTTGAGACAGAAACCACAAGTGGTTGTTTTAAAAGCCCAGGTTTCATGCGGTCTCTTAGAGCCTGGAGGAATGTGGAGCCCTTCTAAACCTGGACTCTCGCTTTTTCCACAAATGTGGCGTACGGGTGATCGATCACATGACTGGAAAAAATAATCGAAAAAGATAAAATAATCGAAAAAGATAATTTAGCTGAAGAACAGTAGTCTAGCGACACTAGTCACTAATTAAGCAAGCTATAGAGAGAGGCCAGCCGTTTTCTGGGAGATAAAGTGAACTCTTGAAACTTGAAATTCAGAGTCTTGGACCCCACCCTCAGTTTCCAGTTCGGTTGGTCTGGGTTGAGGCTCCTGAACTCGGTTTCTCACAAGCCGCCAGTTAAGACTGAGGCTGAGCCAGCTTATGGGTTAGATGAACTTTTTTTTTTTCTTCTTCTTCTTCCTGAAGTCATTAAATTCTCGCCTGGTTGGAATGTGATGAAAGGGATTTTCTTCCCTCAAAAAGTAGATGCCTCTAATGCTAAGGGCAACTCAGAGAATGGCCACAGTCTGAAGCAGTGATGCTAATCCCACGGTCAGCCTGTTAACCCGGGTTCTTCCATGTCTCAAGAGATGCCATATTGATCTCTAAAATGCAGTCTGTATATCAAAAAGGAACTCCTCGTGCACCAGTTTTGAGTATGAGCATGGGATTTAGGGCCTCAAGAAGTACATAGTGTTTGTATTTAGAGGTAGGGCGAGGTCACTGTAAACCACAATGGCCTGGGAAGATGATAAAGTGTGGCGTCAGGCTGAGCTTGAAGAATAGGCAAGAGCTGGGTGGAGTATATCCTTTCCTAGGAGACAGGCAAGGGCAGGAGACAAAGGCCTGGAACCTGAGGTAGGGGAGGGGAGGGGAGGAGCTGGGAAGCAATAACTAGAACTGTAGAGGACTTTCTGAATGTCAGACCAAGAACACTGGATATGACCATTGAAGAACCCTTGAGAATTCGTAAAGGCTTGTGCGGGGGGAGGGGGGTTTTGCTGGGGTTGCCTATGAGGGCCATCACAACCACCCAGTATTTCTTGGTTTTGAGCATGAGAATTGCAGAATGTTCCGGAGTTGAAGAAAGGTGAATTCTGGAGCAGGTTGTAAAATGTATTAGAGCACACAAAGTGGCGATGCATTGGGCAGAGGGGCTAGAGCAGATGTTATGAAAGAGGGGCTTCTGTGACATCAAGCTCGGTAAGCATGCCAAGGAGCTGCTTTCATATAGACAGGCCCAGGACCTTCAACACTCACAAAGCAATCACAGGGCCTCAGAGATGTTGTGGAATATTAGTTGAAGATGGGTTACATTTGTTTATGCTGTGAGACATTTGTTTAATGATGGAGAGATGTGTTCCATTCATTTGTTTAACTCTGTGAAGCGGTGATACTTTGTCCAAAACGCCTGATTGGTTTAATAAAGAGCTGAACAGTCAATAGCTAGGCAGGAGAAAGGATAGGTGGGGTTGGCAAGCAGAGGAAACAAACAAGAGAGATCAGGGAGCGAACGGAGAGGAGGACTCCAGGGGTCAGCCACCCAGCTACAAAGCAAGCCATGGAGTTAGAAGTAAAGAAAGGTATAGAGAAAGGTAAAAGCCCAGAGGCAAAAGATAGGTGGGATATTTTAAGTTAAGAAACGCTGGCTGGAAACAAGCCAAGCTAAGGCCAGGCATTCCTAAGTAAGAATGAGTCTCTGTATATTTATTTGGAAGTTGGGTGTCGGGCCCCAAAAGAATTAAAGAGTAAAACAACAACAACACATAGGTAGGCTGGATAGAGTGAGAAACAGTGCCGGTAGATCATAAACACCGGGATGTCAGTGGGAAGATTATAGTTCTGAGTTCATTGGCTGCTGGCTGATGAGCTCTCTGGGGGATCTCTGTGACAGTTGATGCCAATGACAACTGAATGCTAAGAAGCAATTCTAAGGCAGTGCTCCTACCTTGCAAGTGGCTGAAGCCAGTCTTTGTCATGTATGTCTGCATTGTGCTATCTCACAGATCACCACACAAACCTCTCATGGAAGAGGCTCGCCTGTGGAATGCTGAACTATCTGTTTTTAGGCTCTGACCTCAAAGTCAGATAAACACATGACAACCTGTCAGTTTTCTTCATCAGTCATTGTGAGGACAGTGCAAACAAAACAAAAACCAAACAAACAAGCAAAACACGAGGCTAGATCCTGGGGAGAAATGCTTCTTGGCCTTTGTTTTGTTTTAGATTTCCTTTTCTAAAAACACATGTTTATTTAGCATGTATGTTTGCGCACACAGGCATTTGTGTACCATGGTGCAGGTGCAGAAGTCAAAGGACAATTTGGTGGCACCAGTTCTCCCTGAGCACCACGTGGGTACTGGGGGTTGAACTCGGATTGTCAGGCGTGGCAGCCACTAGGGTCCAAGACACTTTTTATAACAAGGCCAGAGAGTTCTTTTTGTGACAGAGTATTAAAAATGACTACTATATCATCACTGTTATGATTATGATTATTGAGACATGACCTTGCTATGTAGCTCAGGTCAGTTTTAGGCTTTTGATCCTCCTGCCTCAGCTTCTCAAAAGCTGGGAGGTATTATAGGTATGTGCCACTTCAGCTACTCTAACCAATTTTTTAAAAATAAAAATCAGTATTGTGAGGTGGTTGACTTTTTGTTAATATTCTGTTTTAAATTATATTTTACACACAGCTTTTCAGTTACAAAGTTGAAATAAGAATGAAAATAGAAATCCTTTCAATTTTTTTCTTTTTTTTCTTTTTTTTTTTTTTTTTTTTTTTTTTTTTTTTTGATACTAGAGCTTGAAACTAAGCCCTCCCCTGAGCCAGGGAAGCCCCTTCCACAGAGCTATATCCCAGCTCCCTTTTTAATTTTTCACTTTGAGACTCGGTCACGCTGCTCTGTCTTGTAGTCAAGGCTAGCCTTACCCTTCTCGGGCAGCCCTTGTACTTGTTAATGTCCTCCCTAGTATCCTACCAGGTGTAGGCTTTTGTTTTGTTTTCCAGCCTAGGACCTGTCTATAGGCTTGGGATAGCCTCAGACTCCCCATCCTTCTTCCCCAGCCTAGGAAACCCTGCAACTTAAAAAAAAATAACCATTAGAGGGTGTTTAAATCAAAAAGAGACAAAGATATGCTTGCATCACAACTTTAACGTCTGTTCCCTTTAAAAATGATTTAAGGGCTGCAGCAATGGTTGAGCAGAGAAGGACAATTGTTCTTACAGAGGATAAAGGCTCAGTTCCCAGCACCCACACTGCAGCTAAGAACATTCTGTAACTCCATTTTCTGAGGGCTCTGACCCTCTTCTGACCTCCACAGGCACTACACACATGTGGTGTATAGACTTACATGCAGGCTAAACACCCATACACATAAAATAAATATAAACAAAACTTTTAAAGAAATGACTTGATTTTCCAATAAGCCAATTACAGTGGCTCATCGATACCTTTAAGTGTAAGGCATGAAGAAAACTTAAAAGACAACCAAGGCCTTTTCAGAGGATGGGGAGACTTCATGTTGTTACAGTTTTCTAATTTGTTCCTTGTTCCAGAAAAAGAAGGATTGTAAGAATTTACCAGAGCTAAACTTTACTGCAATGGAGACCTCTGTATCTAAACAGGGAGAATGTTGCCGCTCAACATCAGATTAAAAGAAAACAGAATCAGAAATGGAGGAAACAGTTGGTATCTCTGTTCTATGGAACAAAAGTAGGAGTTGAAGTATTGGAAGAAAGAAAAAATGGCAGAGCTGGATTCCCCTTCGTATTTTACAGACAGGGAAACTTAGGCACAGTCTCAATGCAAGAACAGTGCCTAAGTATACTTCCTGCTTTGTGGCGTCTCTGCCTAGTGCCCTTCTTATTATATATGTTTGTTTGTCTATATATACAATATGGTTTTTTATGAAATCCTTTCCCCCTTCACTAAAGCCTATAATTTTGGACAACTTTCAAAATTTTTGTAAATGTTAAATCAGTAAAGCCTTCCAGCAATCTTTCAATCTTTCATCCCACCCGCTTTGCTGGAGGATAAAGTTGCAAGCAAATCAAAGTTGGAAAGACTGTCTAAACTTGAGTGAATTAAATAAAACCATCCACATGATGACTGCCCCCACCCCATTTCATAGTTTAAGAAAGCTGGAGCCCCGGTGACTCTGAGAAAGGAATCCCCAGGGTAGCCTGCGAATGAAGATGCAGAGAGAGCGGCGCTGGTTCCAACCCTACCCCTTGATCGTTCATCGCCATCACCTTGACTCGGTTTTCCCACTTGCCCTCACTTCTCAGCGTGTGTTGGATTATTTGCTGATTCTTGTTCACCTTCCTTTAGAACGTGAACGCCTTTATTTTTATTTTATTTTAGACAGGGTCTTATGATTGCCGGTTGGCTTTCTACTCTATTTAGCTGAGGATGAGCTTGAACTTCTGGTCCTCCCGCCTCCACCTCCTGCCCACTGAAATTACAAGCCCGGGATACTGCACTTATTAGTGCTGAGGTGTGGGAATCACATCCTGGACTCTTCACATGGTAGGAAAGCACACTCTACTGAATGAGCTGCATCCCTAGCCCCTAGAATGAGAACTTTTTCCCCCAGGGGAGAGCACAAATGCAGTCCCCCCACTACCACAAATTATGTAGTTTCTCATGTCAGGGAAATTCAAGAGGTCAGCATATCTGGAGTGCAGCGGATAAGCTTCACTCTGGGAAAAACCACCTTCTTGGTCCTGGTATCTCTTCTTCCCCCCGGTAGGAATAAGGATTCAGGCATTATGCTGGCCTACCCCGTCACCTGGCAGAAGGCACTCAGGCAGTACCCTGGCCATCCCAGGGTTTCGAGGCTGCTACATCACTGTGAAGTCTTGCATACAGGTACAAAGGACGCTTTAAAAGAAAAACCCTGCCCACTTCCCCTCTTCCCCAATGTTCCCCTGGGGCAGATAAGACTTTTCCCATCTCCCTCTTCTCTTCTGTCCTCTCTCAGTCTGTGTCTCTTTACCTGTTTTCTATTTCCTTCCCCTCCCTCCCCTCTCTAATAAAACTTCTCACTGAAGCTCTGTCTGCCTGGCATGTTTGTCCCTCACCCGCCATGAAATCCGCCAAAGTCCCTTACACACTTTATTACAACAGTAGGTATGAATATAAATTTCTGGACAGCTGTGACTTGCTCTAAGTCTTTACTGCTGAGCCCCGGACTTCTGGGAGGATAGTAGCTACTCAATTTTGTTGTTGTTGAAAAATCTAATATATTAAATCCTTTCGCGTACCCTTTCCCTCTCTAGGAATAATTGCCACTTTCCATCCTCTGAGTCTCAAAGGAAATAAATGGTGGGCTGTGTCTGCCCAGGGCATTCTTTCTCAGAACAGATGCCCATCTCTTGCTTTGCAGGACGATAGTGTTTCAACTTGTTCACTTCTGCTAAGCACAGACTCCCTCCCTGGAGTAACCATTTAGCAGTCATTACAAAGAACTAGGAACTGGGATCCCACTCTGGGTCCAGGCTCTCCTTCCCATTATAATTTCAAGGCTAATCCTTCAAGATTTATGTTGTCTTCTCTGTGTGTGACTGGGGTGTCATCTGAAAGGCACGTAGGAGGTGTGCCTCCACCTATCTATAAAGTTCTGAAGCAAACTATCCAAACAATTTGTACCTTCTTGTTGACTGCAATCCCAAGTAGTCTTGGATCGCTTGGGCTTTGGCAGGAGCAGGTGGCCTTAGTGTTAATTTCCCAGCCTGACTCTCAATAGCCCCAGCCCCACCCCGTCTTCACTAATTGACGGGAAACAAATTTGTAACTGACTGATGAGAGCTTGACTATTTTGAAAGAAGCTTCACTAGTTATATCAGAACATGGTCCATGAATGAGGTCTTAGAACTTGTGAGATAACTCCAAAGAAACAAGGCAAGTCTTGTTACCTTTCTTTGTCAATAAAATGGGTTGTTGCTGGAATGTGATTTCACAACCTCCCCCCCCCCCATGTTGTGAATAGGAGTGGGTTTGCTTCAGATTCCCAGTGATCTTTCTCTTGTTATTCAAAAATGTTCCTAGCACAGGTTGTCCTCATGACTGTGACTGTATAGGACCTAACCTCATGTGAACTTTGCTCAAGTCCTTGCTCAACCCTCAGACTACCTTCAGGATATAAATCGCCCAATACCCTGAATAAAGTTTTAGGCTCTGCCCTCAGAGGTTCACACTATCAACTAAAGCAGTGACAGTTACCAAGGAATAAAAATCAACACTCACTAGTTCGGCAAAATGGTTAATATTTAACAAGTGTGAGGAGTCAGCGTTGCAATCCAATAAACTTTCCACATAAGTCTATTTGTCTGCAGGTCAGTCTGTCTCTCACCTGACATTTGTCCCTCACCTGGCCATTGGATCCGCAATGGTCCCAACTGGGGCCATGTTCGTAACAGTCAGGAATGCTGGGGAAGCATTAGGACAAGCATTTCAGGTTGGCCATCTCTAAGGTACCAAGATGTACATTTTTGATGTTAAATAATCCCATAGCTATTAGGGCCTCCTGTGAAGTCACCACATACAAGGGCACACATGCAAGAATATTCATGCCATGGAAAAACTGGAAACAGCCAGTGTCATGCTGTGGCAGAATGGATAAATACTTTGTGGTATACATATAAATACGATGTGACATCACTTGTGTGCAATTATAAACACACAAAGTGATATTACATACTATAAATGGGACTATGTACATAGTAAAAATATAAAAGACAAACAGAAAGGATACACCATTTCAGAGTGGCAGTCACCTCTGAGAAGTTAAGGAAGATAGAAAATGCAAAGGAAGACCACAAACATCAAATATATACCATTTATTTCCTTCTTTCTTTTCTCGAGTCAAGTTCTCCCTTTGTAGGCCAGGCTGCTTTCAACACATGGCAATCAAATATGAATCACTGTTCCTAGCTTTTATTTTCTTTAGAGTTGCTTGTTTGCTTGCTCACATGACTTCTCTCTCGTGTTCTTCTCACACCTATTTTCTATTCTCTGTCTGTCTCTCTCTGTCTCTCTGTCTCTCTCTGTCTCATACACACACACACACACACACACACACACACTCTTAGGTAATGTGGTCTGATCTCAACTTCCTAGGTAAGTGTCATTGAGCATCATCCTGATCCTCTTAAATTGAAAACAAAACAAAACAACCTGAATCAAATAAGCAGTTGTATTCAGCCTGCACAGACATAGGGTGACATTAATCTCCATTACAATTTGACTGAATTTGGAATCACTTAGGAGACCTATGTTAATCCCATTGGGCAAGAATAAGACCACTACCACACGTTTTGACTCAAATTTGAAGCAAGCTTTATTGGATACTGGCCAGGATAATAGACCCTAACCAGGTCCATACCTGGGATTCCCAGAGAATGACTGAATTATGTTAGTCAAAAGCTTATAAAGGCAAAACCCCCAAGGCTATAGACTTCCTGCCTTCTTCCAATCAGGGACCAGCTTACATCCTGACATACTTCCCGCCTATGAACCTCCCACCTATGTGTGATCAAGCACATCCTGTGCAGTTGGAACAACCAGCCGTGCTTATAGAAGTAAAAACACATGGCTTGTCACATGAACCACAGCCCCTAGCATTCCTGGAAGCTATCTGTCCTTGGGCAAGCAAAGCTCACAGGTTAGAAGCAGTTTTGGTTTACAGATCTCTTAAACACAGTAATTTAAACCTAAAACATAACTTTAGCTCTCACACATATTTCTACACATTTATGAAGGTGTTTTCACAAGGAGAAATTTATTTAAGGAGGAAAGATCCACCCTGAATGTGAGCGGTGCCATTCCACGGGCTAGGGCCCCAAGCTAATGAAAAGGGAAATAAGACCATCGACCATCTCTCTCTCTGCTTCCTGACTGTGGAAGCAATGATGTCAACTGCCTCATTCTTACATTCCTGATGGACTGCTCCCTCAAACTGAGAACCAGAACAAGCCTTGCCTTCCTTAAGTTGCTTTTGTTGGAAACTTTGTCACAACAAAGAGTAATTAATGCACACAGGCATGTGATATTTTCTCCTATCTACTTTCCTCTATGTTTGGCATGTTTTCTCTTTTGTTGTTTGTTTGTTTGTTTGTTTTAAAAACCATCATCTCGTGCTTTTCTTTGGCTCTCCCCAAACCAAGTATATTTGTTTGTTTTGTTTATTTTTTTAGTTTTCTGTTTTCCGATGAAAAGGAGAAAGAAAGGGTGTGGACTTGGGTTGGGGAGAAGGTGGGGGATTAGGGAGGAGATGGAGAGGGGAAACTATGATCAGAATATAGTGTAAAAATATCTATTTTCAATAAAAATTCAAATTATAAGTAAAAAGCAACAAGCATTTTGCAACTGTTTTTAAATAGACATTATGTCATAGCTTGATTTACCATTTTTTTTTTTTTGATTCATACTTGTTTCGTTTCCTCAATAAGGCACATCCATATTCTTTAAAAATGAAACCCTCTCTGCAATAAACATCAGTGGCATAGCGGCAATAGAAATATGCGGACACGAATATCTTTGTAGGGAGGTGCCTGCTGTCGATGGAAGTTGTGGCTTATACCCCAAACTCAGCTATTTCTTCAGGGGCTGCTGGGCCATTCCTGATGATCAACTTCTCCATTTGGGGGTTTTTAGTGAGTCCTGAACAGCCTCTTAGGACTTGGCAAGAGATCAGCTTTTCACTTAGTGCATATGGGAGATGGGTCGCACGGCTGGCTGGTCTATTGTCCAAGCAGAACTGGGCACACTATCCCACAGCCCCTGTCATTGTAGAGCCTCCTCGGGGACTTTTATAGCTAAGAAGCTGCTAATTCACAGTGGCTGTCCAGGGGTTAACTTCACCTGTGCACAAATGACCTGAGGCCACTTGTGAAAGCAGCGGTGCACATCCCAGAAAGGAAGGCCTTGTACCAGTGGCTGCTTTTTGTCAGGCATAAATACAAGTATCGCCTCATGATGCACAGACCAAGTCAGAGCCACCCAGGTCCACCCCACTCTCCCTTCAACTATTTCCTCTGAGTGCAGATGCCATTAATATAAACATTTCCAGTCACTTAGGTTCAAAACCTCCATCATGTTACTTACATTCCTCAGGATTGTCTTTTAGTGGCTAGTTGGTCCCTAAGTCCCCGTGGTATGCCTTTGTGAATGTCGCTGTCCTGTGTGAACCACTACCATTCTGCTTTAAATTCTGACTGTTGTACACACGGACAGCTCCAATAGCCAAACCTGTGTTACTTTTCTTTTTTCCTATTTGTTTTATTTTGTTTCCTTCTCTGAATTCCTATACCAAATATTTTCACTGGTATTCTTTTTCACCCCTTTAGCAAATGCCACCTTACTTGCGGTTGTTTCCATTGTTCCCCTTGGTCAGGAAGAAGAAAAAAGGGGTTGATACCTTCGGTAGCCTCCTTTGCTTTTATTTCCCATGATAGTAAACTAAAAGAGGGGCCTCCGAGGGCTTTAAACACAGCGGCGAGGAAGCCATCACTAATAAAAAAAAAAGAAAACCTTCTGATTTTCCACGAATGGACTTCCAAAGCTGGAATTTCCATCCTGGGGCTATCTTAGCTTTGTGTTTCTGTTTTGAGATAGTGTCACACTGTAGTGCAGGCTGCAAACTCCCAACAATCTCTTAGCCTCTGCCTTCCAAACACTGGTGTAGATAGGTATGTGAATCACCAAGCCCTGCCTTTCTAGAGATTTTCAAAGACTGAAAACAGAGTTTTCATGA